TTCCGACGATACGAGACGCCCACTTACCCCCAGTGATGCACGCATCACGGCAACTACAGACACACAGAGCACTGTGGAAAAATCTGCGTTCGACGGGAAAACTCCCACCCGCGGCCCAACAGGTGCTGCCCTGGCCGCGGGTGCAGGCGCGGGTGCCCGCGGCCCAGAATGCTGGGCTGCCGCGGTTGAGGTTGCGGGTGCGGTTTCGCGCGCCCCCTGGCCCGAAATGCGCTGCCCCGTTGCGGGTGCGCTTGCGGGTGCGGTTACAAGTGCCCGCGGCTGCGGGAGGCCCAGCATGTGCTCCCTGGGCTGCCCGCTGACGACAGTCAGTCTGTCAGTCAGTCTGGCGGGGACGGAATCCCACCAACCCTTTAAGGCGTAGGTGGTCTAGCGTGTTTTGTCCTCCATCTGCCCCATTTCCCCTTCGGGGAGGGGTTTATCACTGTTCCCTATGAATATACACCCCCTCCCCCACCTGGCCGGCGGCCAACCCGGAGCCATGACGACCCCACGAGGGCCACCCCCCCACCATCCCTGTCAAAACACGATACAAAACGCACCCTGCCTCCACATTTGGAGCATGCGCGGCCGCCCCGCGACAATTTTGCATTGGTATTTTGCAGGTACGGCTGGGGCGCCAGCAGATCCCACCTGCCTTCTGGCCGCAGGTGGTCGAACGAATGGTTTAACACATCAGTGGTTGCTGCATTTTCGCCTTACTGTTTCCGAAGGGACTTCGAAACCTCCACATTGCTCCAAGATGTGCCAAGAAACCTCAAAGCCGGACCCAAGAGCACGTATTGGTTCCCAGTGGCTGGCGCACCTGGCACGGCTGGAGCACATGGAACGCTGGGCGCACGAGGAACACGTGCCGCGTCTGGCGCGCCTGGCACGCTTGGGCTTCCAGGGTCTGGTGCATATGAAACCCGTGGCGTCTGCGGCGCTCTTACGCGATATGCTGACTCCCGGTTGTTACGTATGTGTTGGGAGGGCGGGTGGGGGTGAGCAAGACGGGTTGCGGGCGGGTGGGAAGCTTAACCGTTCCCTCTACACTCTCCCTTGGACCTGCACGGGGGGTCGCCCGAGGGGTTGGAGCGTTCAAGATGGCCCAAGATGGCTCCAAGAGCGCCTCGGAGAGCCCAAGATGAGCTCCAAGATGGCTCAAGATATCCCAAGATGCCCCAAGATGGCTCCAGAGATGCTCCAAGAGGCCCCAAGAGCACTCCAACACGGCTCCAAATGGCCAAAGAGCTTCCCAGGGAAACCCCGAAGAGGCCAAAATCCGTTCAAAACCTAAGGAAATCGATGTATGTTGCTTTCCTGCCTTTTCGCTTCCGATGGCCATCCGAGGCCTCATACTGGCTCCAAGACGGCCCGCGAGGGCTCCCAGGAAAGGCCCAAGAGAACCCCAAGACGGCCCCAAGAGCGCCCAAGAGCGCCCCAAGAGCGTTCCAAGAGGAGCCCAAGAGGCGATGTTGGGGGGCTTCCGAGGAGGAAGGCTAATTAAGGACCCCCCTTCTTTACTCGAGCTCTTCCAAGATGGCCCCAAGAGTGTTCCCAATGCTCCCAAGAGCGCCTCAAGAGGGCCTCAAGAGGCGCCCAGGAGGCCCCAAGAGACGCCCAGAGGCCCCCAAGAAGCTCCCAAGAAACTCCCGAGAGGCCCCAAGAGGCTCCTCCGGGCACCCATGGGCGCTTCAAGAAGCTCCCAAGAGACCCCCAAGAGGCCCCAAGAGGCTCCCCGAGGCACCCAAGAGCGCTCCAAGAGGGACCCTTCTTCTGTGTGCTGCCCAATTCCCTGATCGAGGCAACTCCTCTGGGCATCGTCTTTGGATGGGCTGGTGGGGTTACTTTTTTTTTTTGGTCGCGGGCGGACGCGGAAACGCAGTCGCCGAAGGAGAGGTCCGGGCCACGGGCCTGCCAAATTGGCTACGTGCGAGCCTAGAGCGAAGCGGCCTGGCCCGCACTCAGAGGCAGCCGCCGGTGGGGCTGCAGCTGATGGGAAGCTGGCTGAGCTGCCTGCTGAAGGCCAGGGTAGCAGATGCAACATGCGGGAGATGGCTGCAAATCGCCAAAGGGGAATTAAGTCCTGCACGCCAGGAGAGCATGATCGGCTCTGTATCTGCAAACCACGCATCAAACTAGCGGAGCGCCTCCACCGCCGGGCCAACCCAGTGGGCAGCGCGCTACCAGGAACGAAGAGCTGGAAGCAACGCATTCGAGTTCAGGAACCATGGGCATGAGTGACCAAGTACGAACTGACCATGTCGCTAAAGGGCGCCAAAGGCCAGGGCCACAGCTGTGGCAGGGTACAGGCCGGACAAGCGGTGACAGGGCGCCAGTGGGGAACCACGGTGTCTGCTGGAAGGCTGCACCACTCCGTGACACATCTCGCAAAACCCCGAAGTCGACGCCAGACACGGGCGGCTGCGGCGAGTACTGTAGACCAGGGCCCAGGGAGTGCCAACGCAACAGGGAGCCTGGCCAGGGGTGTACGTCGTGGACGCCGCACGGAGGGGACCGCGTATTGCGCGGGAGGGCGGAATGGGCAGGTGGGAACGGACGTCACCAGGCCGGCGAGAAAGAGGCGTCCACAAGGGGAGTCCAGCGCCAGGGGGCGGTTGGCCACACAGACGATGCGAAGCTGCAGGGTCGTACGGCAACTGGGCGCCCCGTCCTTATGAAGACCCTCGTGTGGCGTGGGCGGGTGGGAACTCACGTCACCAGCCGGCCAGGGTGAGAGGGGCCCACAGGGACTGCCCAGTGCCAGGGGACGGCCGGTAGCCGCACGAACTAATGCGAGTCAGACTGCAAGAACGTACGGCCGATGGCTGCCATATCCTTGTGTATGCGGGAACGAATGGCAGATGGCCGTCCCGCCCGTATGGAAAGAGAGAGAGAGAGGAGAGAGAAGCAAAGACCCAGGGAGCGGCTGACGGCCGCACAGGTTAGTATGAGAACTCCACGGCCCAGGGGAAAGGCATGGGGACGCTCCTTGCCCACAGCGGGTAGACTTCCACTCTCTTGGTACCCCGTGTACCCTCACGGCCCACCCTGTATCCAGTTGGCCCTGGGTGGCGGCTGACATTAGTGTGCACTGCAGCGCTGGGGAGGTGGTCCGTCTCCCGGTTCATGGCCGTCGGCTCGCCAGAGACTGCCAATTCACCGGCTGAATGCAAGTCGGACCGCGGGGACATCCGGCAGATGGCCGATCCACCCTTGCCTGTGCAGGGAAATGCGGCTGATGGCCGTATCGACCGTGGAGAGAGAGAGAGAGAGAGAGAGAGAAGGAGAGAGTCAGGGAACCAGGGAACGGCTGACGGCCGCAAAGGTTAGTATGAGAATTCCACTACTAAGGGGAGAGGCACGGGTAAGCTCCTGACTCGCAGTCGGTAGCCGTCAGTAAGACGGCGGATCCATAGAGAGCCAGGGAGCGGCTGGCGGCCGCCAAGGTAGTGTGAACTCTATCCCAGGTGTTGGCCTGGGGGCGCTCATTGCTCCCAGCAGATGGCCGCACCAGGGTGACCCGGGCGCCTCTCGGCCCAACCTTTGTCCCGGCGGCCCTGGGGGGGGCAGCGGTCGTTAGCCTGCTCTATCGCGCTGGTGCGCTGACCCCTCTCCCAGCTCGTGGCCGTCCGACTGCCAGAGACTGCCAGGGATCCTGCGGACGGCCAGATGTTCTTGTAACATCCTAGAAGCACCAGAACAACAACAACAGCGGCCCCACTGGTGCCGGGGGTTGTGCCCTCGGCGACGCGCTCCCGTGCCAGTTGTTGTCTGGAGCGGTGGCTGTCCAGCGCCTGACCTCGCAGATGACAGTCCTCCGTCCGAGGAGCTCCTCCGCGGAGTTGGGTGCTGCTGGGGTCCTGGCCCGAGCCACGCCCGACGGATCATGCCCGGAGCGAATCCATGGCAGCTGGAGCGAGCCGCCAGCGCCAGGGGACAGCAGATGGCCGCGCGAGCACTGGAGGTCTAGCTGCAGGAGCATACGACTGATGGTCACCTCATTCAAATGATGCGAGAGAGAAGATAAAAGAGAGAGAGAGAGAGAGAGAAAGAGAGAGAGAGAGAGAGAGAAAGAAAGAAAGCCAAGGAGCGGCTGACGGCCGCAACGGTTAGTATGAGACCCCAACGAGCCAGGGAGACACCTCGTGTCCGGAAGCTAGAGGGTGGTGAAACAAGTCAGGCGCCGGGGGAGTATGAACGTCCAGGGCGCCCGAAAGTGATTGACACGAAGCGTCAAGAATGTTACTTGGCTCTGCCGGGGAAACAAATACTCCTATTGGCGGGGAGATGGAGGGGAAGGGGGAGGGAAAGGGGGATAGGCAGCAGGAGGAACAAGGGTCCGGGGGGTCAGGGAAAGGGGGGAAGGGAAGGGGCGGAGGAGGAGGAGGACGAAGAGGAAGATCAACAAAGAGTGACGGAGGAGGGCAAGGATAGGGAGAAGGGGGAGGAGAAGGAGGAGAGGGAGAAGGAGAAGGACGAAGAGGGAGGAGAGAGGAGGAGAGGGGACAGGGAAGAAGGCAGGACATGACGGAGGATAAGTAGGAGAATCAAAAGGAGAAGGAGGAGAAGGAGGGAAGAAGAGGAAAAGCAGGTGGAGTGGACATAGCCCCTCTTCCTCCTCAATATCCTGAAACATGTGCCGCTGACCTTTCCCTGCACTGCTGCAGGCAACGTCGGCGTGATCACCATCACCCGCTGTGGGAATGCCACTGACATTGGCACTGGCATGGCCACGGCCCCGACTGCTGGTGATGCACATGACATTGTGCGCAAGACTACAATGATTATTATCATTACGTCATCGTTGTTGTCACCATCATCGCTATCACCGTGGATCACCTGTCGCACCAGCGCCGCCGCCATCGCCTGCGTCATCGACGCTGCTGTATGTACGGCTCCGTTGTCCAACCGCGGCGCATGTGAGTTCTCACCCCCGCCGGCAACGACCAAGAGAGCGCTCGAAGGGGGGCATGCGACGACGCCGAGAAAGGCCAGTCCTCCTGAAGCTCGTGGTTGCTCCTGGCGCTCTTCTTCGGAGAAGAACAGTCCTGTGTGGGGAACGCCAGGCTGGGCGCGCATATCATGTCCATCTGAGCTGCTATCCCCTTAGGCCTGTCCTGCCCGCTGCTGATGGCGTTCCACCTTTTTCTTCTTCTTCTTCTTCTTCTTCTTCTTCGTCTTCTTCGTTTTATTCTTCTTATTCTTATTATTCTTCTTCTTCTTATTATTATTATTCTTCTTATTCTTCTTATTAATAGTATTATTATCATCATCATCATCATCATCATCATCATCGTCATCATCATCATCATCATCACCATCATCATCATCATCATTATCATTCTTATTATTATTATTACTACGACTACTATTATTACTATTACTATTATTATTAATATTATTATTAGTATTATTATTCTTACTAATATCATCATTGCTTGCGATACTGGTAGTACAAATAGTGGTCTGTCTTACCAGTATTAGTGGTACTATCATCAGTACTGCTATAAGTATTAGTTGTGTTGTTGATATTGCTAGTATTGTTTTTATCAGTATTACAATCATTCATACAAATATGATTACTATTAGTAGTGTTATTGCTATCAGAAACACTAGTAGTATTCAACTGCCTAATACAGCTATGGGTAGTTTATGATTACTACTGCTATCAGCATCATCATCATCATCATCATCATCATCATCATCATCATCATCATCATCATCATCATCGTCATCATCAGCATCAGCATCATCATCATCATCCACCACCAGCCCCTTCTCCTCCTTCTCCTCCACCTCCTCCTCTTCCTGACTATACCACTCTCCTCCTCCTCCTCCTCCTCCTTCTCCTCCCCCTCCTCCTCCTCCTTCGCCTCTTCTTCTTCCTCCTCTTTCATACCGACAGCATGCGACAATTGCCGAAACCGTTCGCATCAACACTGCCATCATCATGATCACCACCATATCCGTAGTCACCCTCAGAACCGTCATCTCAAGTGTCATCCTGAACATCATCAGCCGCACCATGGCCATCATGAGAAAAAAAAAAAAAAAAAAAAAAAAAAAAAAAAAACATTATACTCACCCTCGCCACCGTCATCACGAGGAGGAGGCGGAGGCGGAGGAGGAGAAGGAGAAGGAGGAAGATCAGGAGGAGGAGGAGACGGAGGAGGAGGATCTCAATGGTCGATATCGGCATCATGCAATACTTACCCACGACTGGGCAGGGGGAGGGTACGGCAGTACGGGGAGGAGGGGAGAGCGGGCAGAGAACCGGTCGGGAGAAAGGGTGAAGGGGGAGGAGGGTAAGGAGGACGAGGAGAGCGACGAGGAGGAGGAGGGAAAAGGATAATAACACAAGCTTGGTGCGCTCGCGCCATATCTGATATCCTATCCCTCCCTCCCCCATCCCTTCACATTGCGCTGAGATTCTCTCTCTCCGCGGACGCATGTCATGGCCAACTTGGAGCTCCACGAAAGACCCCGTCGTATTTTGCGCAGTCGGAGAAGGGAAACTTGTGGGACCTCTGCGACCTGGGGGACCTCAGTGGCCTGTAGAGCCCGTGAGACCTGCGACACCTGTGGGACCCGTGGAACCTGTGGTACCTGTGGGACCTGTGGGAAATGTGGGACCTGTAGGACCTGCGAGACCTGTGGGACCCGTGGCACCAGCGGGACCTGCAGGACCTGTGAGACCTGGGGGACCTCTGTCGGACTTGTGAGACCTGTGGGGCATGCGAGACCTGCGACAGCTGTGGGACCTACGGAACCTGTCAGACGGGTGGTAGATCGAGACCTGCGGGACGACCTGCGACATTTGTGGGACCTGTGGAGCCTGCGAGACATGCGAGTCGTGTGGGACCTGCGAGACCTGTGGGATCCAGAGAAATGGCACACGCTGGGACGGGAGCACAACGCCGATCGGAAAAAGAGGCCCACGCTGCAGCGAGAGCACCATCATTGAAAAACTGCAAACAGTCGGAATCCAAAAAAAAACAAATGGAGAGCCAAGAAGCGCAAACCCTAAATATAAACAAGACGCGGAGGGGGCGAATACTCTCAAAATACATTCGGGAGGAAAGGAATGAAGTACTCATATGGTGTAGCTGTTAACGAAGGGAAGGAGGAGGAGGAAGAAGAAGAAGAGGCACAGAGTTGCTGAAGGAGGAGAAGAATGTAGTGGTGCTCGAGGGTCGACTGGGTCGACATGTCTTGAGCCATGCGGGCACAGGTGAAATCGTTCAGCTGGCCTTTTTGCACTGGTTGGCGTGGTCGTTGGGTGCAGGTCGGCCTTGCGCTGTTGGAAGAACGTGATGATGTCGTTGTCCCAACGTTTGCGTTGGTCACCTTGTTGTCGGTGTACTCGCTGGCGTAGATTTTCTGCCCGTCCTCAGTTGAGCGCGCGCCATGTCCATCTGGTGGCCTCGTGGCTTGCAACCCTCGACGCCATGCACCCAGATCTCTGCTTGCGAATCGTCTCCCATTTTGCAACGTAGTGGTGCTGAATGAGCTGCTATGCGCGCTGCGTGGTTTGCTGGATGCAGTCGACCCATGGAGCCAACGTGTCTTCATCGTCGTTGCTGCCTTTGCTGTCGCTTTGCTGATCTGTTGTGTCTTGCTGAGGCGCGCTGCTGTCGGCGACGTCGCTGCTGCTGTTTGCGTCGAGGTCTTTTTCTGGTGTTTCGTTGGTCGTGCTGTCAGCCGTGTCGCCGTGGTTACTGCTAGGGGTCGCTTGGTGGAAAATGCATCGCCTTGGTGTTATGATACTGTATAGTGCTGTATTATGCTGTCGGTGTCAAGGTGCTGTCGGAATCGGTGCGCCAATGGGTAATTTTTGCTGGTCAGCTCCTGCTTGCGCGAGGTGAGCGATGCCCATGGAGCTCTCGTGCGGCCATGAATCTCGACGTCCATCGCGTCGCGAAAGCCAACGAGTTGACCGAGGGAGGCATTGCATGATGCCCACGTGCGGAAGAATATCGATGTCCGCGCCTTGAACGCGCACTATGCGCGAGCTTGCTTTGCCGGTCCGCCCCGCCCGGTTGCTGAGTGTTTGGTTTTGGAATGGTGACGCTCGAATCCGTCAGGTCGCGCTGCGCGCGCCATGTCGTCGAGCGCGGCGTCGAGGCGCGGGGGAGTTTGGCTGGCGCGTCGGCGGAGCGAAAGTTGGTGAGCACGGAGGCGGTGGCGAATCCCAGCCACACTCCTTTTGCCCATGTTCTGCCAGTCGGCGATGAGCGGTGCGTGGATGCGCTGTAGAAACGCGTTGACGGGTAAGAAACTGAGCGGGTCGCCTTGCTTCGCGCCCCGTCAGGGGCTGAAAGGTCAGCTGCTCGCGTCTGTCTCGACTAGGGCCGTCTGTCCGAATAACGGCATGTACCCTTATTGGGCAACTAATGCGTTCAGTGCTGCCCACATGCTAACGCGCTCGGCTGGGTCTAAGGCCTTTTCGATGCCCAGTGCTGCGACCCAGAAGTTCTGGCTCCATTCGCGCGTGTGCTCTCGGAGACAGTCAAATGAGAACAAGTGGTCGATGGTCAAATTCTCTGGTCTGAAACCATCCTGGTCTGCAGTTTGTTGAGAATCAAATGTTGGCTGGAGCCGCTTGCAAAGAAGTCGGCTGGAAACTTGCAAAAATAAAGGCATCGCACAGATGGGCAGGTAGTGTTGCGGAAGTGCGAGATCCATGGTCTGGAATGACCATGACGACTGCGCTCTTCCACCTGGCCAGCGGCGGACCCTTTCACTGGGCGCTCGCGTCGCGAACAGAATAGCGCACCCATGAATCATTCCGGGCAATCGTTCAACATCTCTGCTCGTAGGCCCCCGGCGCCGGGGGGCTGCTAAGCCGGGGCGCGCTGATCGCCATGTCTAACTCAGTCCTTTCAGAAGGTAGGAGATCTTTGCCGCGCCGCCCCCGCGGCGTCGCCTCTGCCGCGGCGCCGCGCAAACACTCGTAGATCATCTGGAACCGCTTAACGCGTCGCGCGGTCTGAGCCTTTCCTGTCTGCCGCGCGCGCAACGAGCGTCCGCATTCCGCGTGTCTCGATGCGCGGGATGCTCCGCGGCTCTCTGAACTTCTCGAGCACGCTTCCCATGTGGACTCGTCATATCTCCCGCTTCTGCGCGCGGGTCTCATGCTGCATGATTCGCACATTAGATTGCAAACTTGGCGGTCGTCGGTCGGACTCTGGCATCGCTGTACGATTAGAAGGCGCAGACGCCACGCGTCTCTGCCTCGTTGTCGGCCCGCCCGCGGCCCCCCGGCGTCGCCGGCAACAGCGGCGTCGACGAGGACAATTCGGATGCGCTCGTTCAGAGATGATGGGTCGGATGGTAGTTCGTCTGGGCTCAGTCGCTGCCGTTGGTGCTCGCGGGACACAATTGGATTCAGAATCTTGCCAATCGAAGGAATTGGGTGGTCCAAATCTGCACTACCGTCGTTCCTCGTCGCGTCGCGGTCGTCTGGTTGCCATAGTCGTCGGCGTCCTCGACTCGGCGGCGACAGCCTTTAGTCGGATCCCAGATCGGTCGCGGCGCCGGCCTCAACGATCGCGCAGCGCTGAAAAAGTTCACGGCTCAATCAAATGCAATCGACCTGTTTCTGTCTTTCGCTATTGAATGATGCAATCCGTTCGTGGACCGCTCGCGGGAAAATGCGTCTGCAATTGCAAGCCCCTCTTGCGCAGCCCAATGTCGTATCTACGTGCCTCTCGAGTTTTCGATCTCATAACCACGGCGGCCATCGCATCCGACGGTGGCGCGGTCGTTGTCGTGGTCGTCGTCTTCGTCGCTTTCTAATATGTTGGAGGCCCTAACCTGCGCGTTGAAGTTACTAGCGAGCACAGTGTGCCGTCGTGTTTTGTTATTATGCCTGTGGACCCCGTGGGAAGCATCGCACACGCGCTGTATACGTGGGTCGCTGCAGCCAAAGCGCGGAAAATAAGCTGCCACCAGCGGCGGTTCCAACCGCCCTCTTTTTCAGCCACATCGCGGCGAGTCTCAACGAGTGCGCTTGAAATCGCAGCATGCACTTTCTCCAACGCTCACG